TCCAGGAAACTTTCCTGGCCCTGGTCCGGAGAGTACCCATCCTCTTCCTCTGAGACACATACAGCCCATCAAACCAGCACAAACCTTGCAAACTTGAGACTGGAAAAAAAGAGAGATTTGATCTTGAGAGCAGTTGTTGAATGCAGTATCAGATGGTAATTGACAATGTTCTCTATATAAATGGAGTCACAGCTGCTGGTGGTCAGTGTGTGAGCTGATGTGAAAGGTTTTAGTGTCTCCTCTAATTACAATAATGCAGCCAAAAAGAGCCATTCCTATTACATAATATAAACTCATCGTGACAAATACATGGTGTTTTAGCAAGAAAGTTTGCGATCAGAAGTGGCAGAATAGGCCGTAAACTCGGCTGGAATGAACAAATGAGCTTGTGACAATGAGTCTAAATCATATTTAATGTCTGTCTGCCAGTTTACAAGACATTCAAGTGGGCAAATTGAGCGTAAGTGCGGCACTTCCACCGGAGCACCACAGACAAAACAACTGAGGGCCAACTGAGGGAAACTGGGTTTCCATGAGACAACAAACACGAGAACTACCCATAGAACATTAGAGAACTTTAAATAAATACATTCATCGGAAAGATTCTGAGCAGCATGTTGTTTGTTTAGTTCTGAATTCAGGAAATGCCATTCAAATTCACATCATATTAGTTCACTGTAAAATCTAATTAGTTGGGCTTACTTAAAAAAAGCATGCAACCCGATTGCCTTGAAAAAACGAAGTAAAGTGAAATAGGAATAGTATGTTGTACTAACAGATGCTTAGTTAGTATAGTTTACTTACACGAGAGTTCTAGTAACTAAAAAAGAACTGTAGGGGGTACTTGATCCTTTCATTTAGGTTTACTCTTGACTTAGTATAGAGTGCATTGCGGCATGAATAAATTATACAGTTGCTTTGTCTTACAGTTGTTGATTTTATTTGACAATTGTATTTGCTGTCTTGTGTCAGTAGTAGCACAACAAAAAGAGCAGATAAAATGGTTATTGTTACAAGTAATGAAGATAAATGAAATTGAATTGTTGCCATTGTTGTGATTCACGTGCTGAATGTTTAAGTCTGTGTGTGACTTTAGCATGTTACCACACTTTAAGAATTATATAAACCCAAATAAAAGCATCTCAGGGTATTTATGAACAAATTAATTTGATAAAGTTCATTAATAAACACACACTATAAATACACTAAAGCTTTAATTAGTAGTGATGGGAAGTTCGGATCATTTTACAGACTCGGACCTTTGAGTCTCGTTCAGCAAAATGAATGAATCTTTTTTCGAGTCATTTCGTTCATTTTAGCAAAATACAATTAAAGTTACGTGTTACTTCCCTAACACGTCTACTGACGCAAACGTTGATCACACTACAAACAATACAAAACTGCAATAAGAAACAGAAAAGATTAATTCATTGTTTACCTGGGTCTTCAGTCTATGATTAGCTCACCTCACCTCTTATCTGACAAGTCTTCATCACCTAGTCGTTCGTTCATCACGTGACAGCACCATACGCTTTAACCAATGCAGTCTGAGCCGGAAAGAGAATTGATTAGTTCATCCCTCGAGTCTTAGCAAAATAATACACACACACCCAGAATACAAAACAATAAATACATAAAGAATCATTCAAATGAAATATAAACACAACAAAAACAAATAAATAAAAAGTTAAACATCATTTTTTTTAATTAAAAAATCAAATAAATTAAAACAAAAAATAACTTAAATGGAAAATTACCAATTACAACTTCAAAGAATACACAGGAGGTAACCCTTACATCAAAGTCAATATTTTTTCCATCATTATGTTTTCATTTAAGAACTCTTGTTATTTGTTTTATTATTATTATTTTCTTATTACCTTATTAACTCTTATTTAATGAATGCATTATAGGTAGATGTGAGAGGTGATTTATATCCAGGAAACTTTCCTGGCCCTGGTCCGGAGAGTACCCATCCTCTTCCTCTGAGACACATACAGCCCATCAAACCAGCACAAACCTTGCAAACTTGAGACTGGAAAAAAAGAGAGATTTGATCTTGAGAGCAGTTGTTGAATGCAGTATCAGATGGTAATTGACAATGTTCTCTATATAAATGGAGTCACAGCTGCTGGTGGTCAGTGTGTGAGCTGATGTGAAAGGTTTTAGTGTCTCCTCTAATTACAATAATGCAGCCAAAAAGAGCCATTCCTATTACATAATATAAACTCATCGTGACAAATACATGGTGTTTTAGCAAGAAAGTTTGCGATCAGAAGTGGCAGAATAGGCCGTAAACTCGGCTGGAATGAACAAATGAGCTTGTGACAATGAGTCTAAATCATATTTAATGTCTGTCTGCCAGTTTACAAGACATTCAAGTGGGCAAATTGAGCGTAAGTGCGGCACTTCCACCGGAGCACCACAGACAAAACAACTGAGGGCCAACTGAGGGAAACTGGGTTTCCATGAGACAACAAACACGAGAACTACCCATAGAACATTAGAGAACTTTAAATAAATACATTCATCGGAAAGATTCTGAGCAGCATGTTGTTTGTTTAGTTCTGAATTCAGGAAATGCCATTCAAATTCACATCATATTAGTTCACTGTAAAATCTAATTAGTTGGGCTTACTTAAAAAAAGCATGCAACCCGATTGCCTTGAAAAAACGAAGTAAAGTGAAATAGGAATAGTATGTTGTACTAACAGATGCTTAGTTAGTATAGTTTACTTACACGAGAGTTCTAGTAACTAAAAAAGAACTGTAGGGGGTACTTGATCCTTTCATTTAGGTTTACTCTTGACTTAGTATAGAGTGCATTGCGGCATGAATAAATTATACAGTTGCTTTGTCTTACAGTTGTTGATTTTATTTGACAATTGTATTTGCTGTCTTGTGTCAGTAGTAGCACAACAAAAAGAGCAGATAAAATGGTTATTGTTACAAGTAATGAAGATAAATGAAATTGAATTGTTGCCATTGTTGTGATTCACGTGCTGAATGTTTAAGTCTGTGTGTGACTTTAGCATGTTACCACACTTTAAGAATTATATAAACCCAAATAAAAGCATCTCAGGGTATTTATGAACAAATTAATTTGATAAAGTTCATTAATAAACACACACTATAAATACACTAAAGCTTTAATTAGTAGTGATGGGAAGTTCGGATCATTTTACAGACTTGGACCTTTGAGTCTCGTTCAGCAAAATGAATGAATCTTTTTTCGAGTCATTTCGTTCATTTTAGCAAAATACAATTAAAGTTACGTGTTACTTCCCTAACACGTCTACTGACGCAAACGTTGATCACACTACAAACAATACAAAACTGCAATAAGAAACAGAAAAGATTAATTCATTGTTTACCTGGGTCTTCAGTCTATGATTAGCTCACCTCACCTCTTATCTGACAAGTCTTCATCACCTGACAGCCCCATAAACTTAACTAAAGCAGTCTGAGCCTGAAAAAGAATTGATTAGCTCTTTTTTTTATTGAAGATATAACATTCACAGGGGATACAGTCATAGCAATAAAATACACACACCCAGAATACAAAACAATAAATACATAAAGAATCATTCAAATGAAATATAAACACAACAAAAACAAATAAATAAAAAGTTAAACATCATTTTTTTTAATTAAAAAATCAAATAAATTAAAACAAAAAATAACTTAAATGGAAAATTACCAATTACAACTTCAAAGAATACACAGGAGGTAACCCTTACATCAAAGTCAATATTGTTTCCATCAATACAGTAGTTTTAGCAGCTTTCTTATTAAGTGATGAGCAGAGACATTAAGAAAATAATTTCAAATCAATACAAAAAAATCCTAAAATTGGGCATACAATCAGTAACTTTACATTTGTGAAGATGAAATAGGCCACAAAGAGTTAACAGTTTTAAGATATCATCCAGCTCCTTTGATCCTGATTCCCAAATTAAAAATAGTGCATTAATTACCTCAAAACTAAAAAGTTTGTTGTAAGCTGAGAAAACAAGCATCTCAAATATTTTATTAACTATAATATTTGTGGATTTATATTTTATTATGTTGATTGATCTTTGTGTATGTGTGTGTTTCATAACTGTTTACAGAATGAAAACTGAAAATTGAGTAAGGCTCCACTGTGACAACTTACCCCATATTGTGTGACAACATGCCCCACTATTGGAGTGTGCTGAAAGTGAACTGTATTGTGTTTAAAGGGGTCATATGATGCGATTTCAAGTTTTCCTTTCTCTTATCTATGCACAGCTGATTGTGCATAGATAAGATCCCTGAAGTTGCAAAGACTAAAGTCTCAAAACCAAAGAGATATTCTTTATCAAAGTTAAGCCCCCTAAAACAGCTCGTTCTAACACGCCCCCACATATCTACCTCACTATGTGGAAATATTTGTATAATGTTGCCCAAATGTTCACGCAAAGAAAGAAGGCGTGGTTTCAGTAACCGCAGTTAGTGTTGAAGCAGCATGTCAGGGAGACGCTGTGTGTTTCTAGGCGAAAGCAAAAGCACTTTATTTGGCCTTCCGGAAGTAGATGCAATTAGGAATCTTTAAGATTACTTACAACAGAACAGCAATGCATTTTATGGACGACCGTTTCGTGAACCTAGGAGAGGAGGTAATTCTGACTTTGCTATGACAATCTGGCGCTTCTGAATCAGCTACTGTTTTGATATTAGCTTAAGTATTTGCTATTGACTGTTCAAATGCAGAGTTTTGCGCATTGTGTGTGTGCGTGCGTGCGCGTGTGTGCGTGTGTGTGTGAGAGATAGAGAGACACATCACAGTGGAGTCAGCTGTCTTAACCGTGGCTTGTGTACTGCACACACATACCAGCTTCATCACTGTGTCTGTCACGCCACTCCGTTCCCCTTTCGGTCTTTGTATTTACATTTATTTTGAAAGATGTAGCTCGCGATTATGGAAAAGTGTGATCAAAATTTGTCCTTTATGACTTTCCGTAGCAGCTGTACGCGTACTACTGATGATTCCATTCTCAAAAATACAGCATTGATTACAGTTTTAGTTGATAAAGTAGTTTAAATGATCAATGTGTTCGTTTTTGACTGCTAACGTTTTGAGATTTGATTCTTAACTTTTGATAGCGTTTAGTTTGGTAAGTAATGGCATTACTGTATGTCGTGGTGAGTGGAGTCCTTCTCGCTGCTGTAGTATTAATAACAGTGTTCATTTTACGATTATTTGGGATTTTACGACATGCATCTGAATATAAACCAGGACAGAAGGGTTCTGTGTCACTGCTGGTGGTCGCAGGATCAGGTAAGAATAGCGTTTTATATAATATATTATAGTGTATATAATGTGTATTTAGTGCATGTTTTTTTATATGGAAAAATAACCTCAAACCAAATGATATGTTTTGAATGATTTTTTTTTGTACTTTTAATACTGAAATTTATATATATATATATATATTATTTGCTGAACACAAAGCAAACAATTAATGTGATTTAGATGTGATTGGATTTAGATTATAACACTTTCGCCTTTACTTATATATGATTTAACATAATATTTTGATGTTGGTAATAAGCTCATATCCATTTTATTTGCCATATAGCAATATTTACATCATAATAATTAGGGCTGCACAATTAATCGATATATATCTTATATATATATTATTTGCTGAACACAAAGCAAACAATTAATGTGATTTAGATGTGATTGGATTTAGATTATAACACTTTCGCCTTTACTTATATATGATTTAACATAATATTTTGATGTTGGTAATAAGCTCATATCCATTTTATTTGCCATATAGCAATATTTACATCATAATAATTAGGGCTGCACAATTAATCGACTTTCTAATCGCGATTACAATTACATAATCGTTCAAAGTCCACTTATGTTATCCTGCACACTTAAGATATGTTTTTTTCTTTCTACATGTTATCTTAAGGGTTTTCCCCATTATTTTAATTTTAGTTTTAGTATAACATTATAATACCATTCATATTTTTATAATTTAAAGAAGAAACCAATCCGATGTGTAGTTGACATTTGAGGCTTAATACTATAAAAAAAGCACTAAAGGTTTTTCAGCTTGTTTATTTTCATATAAAAATACGGCATGCAGTTGCATCAAACAATGGTATAAACATCATTCAATATAAATTGTGATAATCGTAATTAATAATCGCAATTTCAAGGGACTAATCGACAATTATGATTTTTGTCATAATCGTGCAGCCCTAATAATAATAATAAAATTATTCTAATTTAGATATTGATGAATGGCAATTATTATTAACTTTAAATGTTTATTTTCTGTTTCACCTAGGAGGACACACAACAGAAATTGTCCGTTTGATGGGGAGTTTATCTCGGTCTTATAACCCTCGCCACTATGTGATCGCAGACACCGATAAAATGAGCGAAGAGAAGATCCGAACATTTGAAGCAGAGCAGGAGAAAAGCGGTTCACCCTCTCAGGTGATTGATCTACACTGAATATATCTGTGCACCATTAAAGGAATAGTTCCCCCAAAAATTACAATTCTGCCCTCATTCCAAACCCACATGATTTTCTTTCTTCTGTGATAATAAAAGTGAGAAATTCTGAATGCTGTTGTGTCTTACTTTGACCAGGAGATGGCAGCAGATCCTTTGAGGTTTTTTCTCCAAGCATTTGAACTGTGGATTTGAAATGATAGATATGACCTCAATCATGATATGTTTTCCTCTCTCTTATTTTTTAATCACAGTTCACTATTCACCGGATTCCTCGCAGTCGGGAGGTGCGTCAGTCGTGGAGTTCCTCTGTTCTGAGTTCCCTCAGCGCTCTGATGTCGTCCGTCCCGCTGGTCTTTAGGCTTCAGCCGGATATAGTGGGTTCTCTCTCCTCTCATTCATTCCACCCATCATGATTAAGAATTAATTTCCTCTGTTCTGCAGGCTGTTTGTGTAACGCCCTTCCAGAAATAGCACATTCATAATATATTTATGAAATGATGCCTAAGGGCAGCCCAGCTCTATTTTGAGTATAAAGAGCATTTTATTGAAATTTAAATATACAGTATGCAAACATACTTGGATGTGATGAATATTAGTTTGCATTATCGAATTCGAAAATGTTAAGTAGTCAAGTCACATTTATTTTTCTAGCACTTTAATACAGCGTGCAATACAGTACAATAAAGACAGTAGTGTTATTATTTAGCTCAAAAGTTTCCATTTCAATTCAGTTCAATAGGAAAAGTTCATCAATAATGAAACTAGTTCAATTTATCTCTGGGCAGCTCTACAATAGTGTCATTATTCAGCTCAGGTAATGTATTAGATTGTGTTATTAATGTGCCATATTGTTAATCATTCTTTAATGTGCCTCTGAAGTAAATCTCTGTAACAAAGTGTCCTTCAGATTAGCATTGTAGCGTCTTCTGCCCAGTCCATAACCTTGAGAATTTAATCATCCCGTGCACTGTTTTGGAAAACATAGCTTTTTATAAATATCTATCTCCACCCTCTATTATTTATAGTTCAGATCATCTGCAAAATCTAGTCCAAATTCTGTCGTTTTCCGAAGGATTTGGCCAGAAAAGTACAGTTTTACGTTTTTAAGTCTGCTTTTTTTTTCCAGTTTCTATGCTGATTGTGGTGGGGAAATCTTTGGAATGGATTTAAATATGGTAGAATGTGTTTAATGCAATCTTATTGGTAGCATTGATAGCTAAAACATTGTCAGATTAGCCAAAAAGTCTGCATGAAATGGAAACTGACAGTACGTTCATATTGCATTTCTGGTTTTATTGTGAATAAATGGCTGTATTTATTTGATCAAAAATACAGAAAAAAACAGTAAAATTGTGAAATAATATTGCAGTTTAAAATAACTGTTTTCTATTTTAATATGCTTTAAAATATAATTTATTTCTGCGTTGCAAAGCTGAATTTTCAGCATTATTACTCCAGTCTTCAGTGTCACATGATCCTTCGGAAATCATTCTAATATACGGATTTTTTTAGCGATGTTAGAAAATTGAAATCTTTTGTAACAATATACACTACCGTTCAAAAGTTTGGAGTCAGCAGATTTTTTTTTAAATACTTTTTTTAATACTTTTATTCAGCAAAGATGTGTTAAATTGATAAAAGTGACAGTAAAGACTTATATTGTTAGAAAAAAAGTCTATTTTGAATAATTTTTTGAACTTTTTGTTCATCAAAGAATCCCGAAAAAGGTATCACAGGTTCCAAAAAATATTAAGCCACAAAAACGGTTTCCAACATTGATAATAAATCGTTATATTAGAATGATTTCTGAAGGATCATGTGACACTGAAGACTGGAGTAATGATGCTGAAAATTCAGCTTTGATCACAGGAATAAATTACATTTTAAATTATATTAAAATAGAACACTGTTATTTTAAATTGTAATAATATTTCATAATGTTGTTGTTTTTTCTGTATTTTTTATCAAATGAAGTAAAAAGTAATACAAATCTTACTGATCCCAAACTTTTGAACGGCAGTGTAAAGTTACACTAAAAGAAAATGAAAAATGTTGCCTTGGCCTCTACCTGAAATAAAATACATTTACATTTTTCTTCAGTTAACATTTTATTTCAAGTCACAAAATAAAATTCAAAATATCTTCAGGAGAAGTTGTACAGGTTTATAACAACATGAGGTTGAGTAAATGATGGCAGAATGGTCAGTTTTGTGTGAATGCTCCCTGCCTAACACAAAAGCAGTAGTTGTTGTCACACAGCAGCACTGGGAATGTTTAAGCAGGTGATAAAGACGTATTTTTCCTTCAGCAGATGATAAGTATCTGCTGTATAAGCAAACACTAATCCTGCTGTTTCTCTGCTGGTCTTCAGCAAGAAACAGAGCAAGGTAGGGGGGTTGATTTAGGAAAAGAGAGAGGGATGGGCAGCGTTTAAGCCCTTTTCACGAATGATCTGCAATCCAGGGCCTCTCTCTCTCTCTCTCTCTCTCTCTCTCTCTCTCTCTCTCTCTCTCTCCACAAAAGCAGTAGTTGTTGTCACACAGCAGCACTGGGAATGTTTAAGCAGGTGATAAAGACGTATTTTTCCTTCAGCAGATGATAAGACTATCTGCTGTATAAGCAAACACTAATCCTGCTGTTTCTCTGCTGGTCTTCAGCAAGAAACAGAGCAAGGTTGGGGGGTTGATTTAGGAAAAGAGAGAGGGATGGGCAGCGTTTAAGCCCTTTTCACGAATGATCTGCAATCCAGGGCCTCTCTCTCTCTCTCTCTCTCTCTCTCTCTCTCTCTCTCTCTCTCTCTCTCTCTCTCTCCCC